CTGTTAAGAGTCACTTGATAAGGCTAACATTGATAGTAGCTCATATCATTGAATCTACTTTAGCTGGTGTCAGGCGCATAGCATCTTCAATAAAAGAATAGTGCCAGCAGAAAATGCAAGTGTGTCATGCAAACTTTCGTGTTTTGATGTAAATTTTGCGTGAAACGCCGTGGTGGCCAAAGTGCAAATTCTTCGGACATGGTATTCTTGCTTTGAAGAGCTGACAGTACTTTGCCTGACATGATAGTTGACATGAGATCAGAAATCTTGATCGAAAAACATGTTAACTTGAGAAAATCAGGCCCTCACGCCGAGAAGGACATTCATGAGCATTCTGGCCAGCATCTGGGCGTGTGTCACGACGCGCGCTCTGGGCAAGTTGCAGTTGACCCCACTGCCAGTGGCCCACATGTTTTCTGAAGTCTGCCAACGTGGTCCCGTGCATCCGCCTAGCGAAGCTTCTGGGGTGGCCGTTGATCCAACGTTGGACCTCCGCTTCATGGAGGCGTTTGCTACAGCCAAAATGAAGCATCATGAGCACGTTTTGTGTTCAGTTATCCATTCCCATCTTAGGCCAGGGGTATGGGGAAGTGCAAACACTGATAAGCACACTCACAACGATGCTCATGACGTGATGTTTGTACAAGCATGCGGAGGGATTCAGGAAAGCGTGTGTGGCTCAGCAGCTGCTGCTGGGCAGTGTTCTTGCAAAAGCGAAGGTGCAAATAAGATCTCCTCAAATGTGCATGCACCCCGTCTAGCGAGCAGCAGCGCGCTGCTGAATGGTGGTGCAGGAGGCACCGCATCCCTAGCAAAGGCTTCGATTGCAAAACCCGGTTCAAAGATGTTCTGAGCCCTGCCTGCTGCAGGCCTGCCCATTGCCAGGTGCGGCCATGAGTGGCCCCAGGACAGCTGCCGCTTCGTCACCAGGCCACTTGCAGTGCGAGCAGCCCGATTCGGAGCAAATGCCACCATGCCATGCCTGGAGGGTTGGACGATCACGTGACTTCATCCTTTTTCGCTTAAAACTGGAAAAATGTCGTAACGCTGTGGAGCTGCATTCCATCGCGCTGGGTTGGCTACATAAATACTTTGGACCCCGTTGGCATCCATCACATGCAGTGTGGTAGTTCCCTGCTGCGACGAATTGTTGGCAGAGCATGTCCTTCAGGGCTGTCACTGTGTGAGTACTTGCATGCGGCACAGTCCCCCTGCCCGCAGACCTCAGTAAACACGCCAAAGCCAGCACCCACATCAGCTGCCCATCAAACTGCCGTGATCCTACTCAGATTCCAGCATTTGTGATCGGGAACTGTTGAAAACAAGCGCTAGATGAGACTTGCATTCGGATGTCTGAGCCGTCTGAGCTGCCAGAACAGTTGAGGACAGTCTGCATACAACAGTTCTGAAAATCCATAAGGTCATGGCCCTCCGCTCTCTGAGCTTGCTTTCCAACTCAGACTCTGGAGGAGAAGGCGTCGGACTCGTATTGACCTGCCGCCGCGCTCAAGGATCGTCACACATCGAACGTGCAGATCCAGAGCCGCTGCCCGGACGACGACACCAACTCCGACTCCGGATCCACTGCGGCGACCTGTCACCATAGCCGCCATGGTTCCTTGGTCAACCCAAAGTTCCAGATCAGAAAGCCCTCAAGCCCTCACAACTCGGTCAAGAACGATGCCCACTCCAGCAAGCCGGATGCGGATAAATTAAAAACCTCTTGTTTGTTGCCACATGCTTGCTGCTTGCGCTTTCAGGATGTCTTGAGGCATTCAAGTGTTTCAGTCAAGCGCTTGAGCAAAAACAACAAATACGTGAGCACAACGCCAACATGAAAGGATGCATGAAAGGCAGTGCCCTGCCGAAGCATGGCGCCACATGTCCGATCACAGGCGCACCAGATAATCTTCCGCAAGCATCGCAAGGCCTTCATAAGGGACAGGGGCATGTCGCCAAGAACTCCACAGCTTCGGGCAAAGCTTCTAATTCTACAGAAGTATGGCCTTGGCTAGGTTCTTGCTGGCAATGATTTGCAGCAGCGCACGTGCCAACTGCCGGAAGTGACTGTGCACAATTAGCTGCAAATGCATTTGTAAAGCACCCATGCTATGCAAACTCTGCCTCTGCCTGCCCCAGCGAGTAATAATTGCACATGCAGATGACCTGCCATCACAGCAACACACTTGCTTCTGATATGGCAATACTGAGCAAGAGATGTTGCTCCCAACTTGCCTCCGCCAAAATCTTTGGTAGGGGCACAGGGCAGGTTTTGATGGAACAGGCCACCTTGGGCCCTGGGCACGCTTTCTAACTGAGGACAGCACGATCTTGCTATCATCATGCTCCAGCAGGAAGGGACAGCGGCCCTGAAGTGGTCAAAGGTTGCTGTCCTTCAAGCTTCACTCGACAGACTATGGGGTGTTGAGCGCCAAGCCCCTTCATCGTCTGTTTGGATCCGCACGTTCTTGTCGCCTGCAAGACTTCAGAGCTTTTTGCGCTGCAATAAAAGCCGCATCAACATGTCGTAGGAACCAATGGGAACAGCCTGGCATGGCTTCCTCATGTCGTCTTGAGAAATCTGAGCTACATACAATAGCTCTACGGGTATCTTTCCGTCCTGTTGGCTGGCCACTTCTATAACCAGCCCGCGAAACTTCAGGCCCCAAATGCATGTTGCCAGACGGTACCTACAATCGAATTCACACTCATCGAGTATATGGTGGTTGAAAACTGTCTGCTGATTCAACTAAAGCTCTCGGCAAAATGAGGGAACCAGCACAGCAGCGCGGACGCACGTTGGTTGAAAGAAGCTCTCAGCAGCAACCAGAAACTTATGCAAACCTTCATACTGCTGGACACACACAGCAAACAACAAGCCACGGCGGTTTGAGGGCCACCGTGTCGCGTGCTAGCAGTGGGAGGCTGCACAGCTGACCTAATGGCCTCAGCAAAGTCACAGATGCGTGCACACAAGCTTTGTGAGTTGGCAAAGCTCTTTTGAAAACAGAAGGCTTATGCAACAAGATACACCAAACACTGCTAGCCTGGGCAAGTTGCAGCGTAGACAGCATCGTGTGTAACCTGTGAGCAAAGATAAACGGAAGATCAGCACCAACAATGACTGGCAAGAATTTCTTTCACGAACGCCCTTGATGCAGCCGCATCGAAGTAGCCAAAGAATTGTAGCTGCAGTGACAATCTGAGGATCTGCTAGCACCTCACTGGTTTCTAAAGTCTTCGGTGATTTTCGTTTCTGGCTCTCCACACCATTCCATGCAACCTTGACGAACCCGGTGTACGCCTTATCGCCTGACATCTTGCTGCGGTGACCTGTAGGCATCCCAGCCTTTCGAATCCTCTACAGGCTCTTGGTGTCTTCAGTCGGCATCCATGAGCACCTTGGCAACCCAAAAGATGTGACGCGGTCGAGATGCGCGGTGGATGTACAGATGCAAGCCACTAAATTTCTATGAAGCCTTCAAGCATTACTACACATATCTACGCTGTGCCAACACATATCTACACTGTGACATGCTGAAATGTGTCCTACGAAGATCCTACATCTTGCCAAAGCCGGATAGAGACCCCACATCCAGCGCGGGCATCAAACTACCTTAAATTTGGTGCCACCGAAATGTGCAAAAATGCCTGAGATGGGCGCTGACTTCACGCCTTGACTCAAGCCCCTGGTTTGGCCAAGGCGGCAGAAAATCTTGAGCCGAAGGTGTACTGGTGTGAGCTCTCTTGTACCAGCAATTTCCTGGACTTGAGCAGAAGACGAGAAAGGCGCAGGCAGAGCCATCTGCCTACCTCTCTCGTTCCTTTCCCTCTGCTTGCCAGTGCTGTGAATGCCATCGGTTCAGTCTGAACACTCGAGGCTGGGGCCACAGTCACAAAGACACAGGACAACCTAATTGCAAGACTTCGGACAATGCCTTCATAAGCCTGTAATGTATCACCAGGAACCAGGGTGCTAGCAACTAACCCGTGAAACTACAGGGCAAAAGGACTCGAAACAATTGTGATACTAGAAACACATGTGATTCGCTCACATCTCCTCAACATGATCATGATGATCAGCAACATCATCAACTGAGCAATCAACATCAAAATCATCATCGTTATCATCATCATTATCATCATCATTATCATCATCATTATCATCATCATCGACAAACTCCGCATGAATTACATATCATCAGTTTTTTGCTGTGGTTCCGGTTTAGGTTTGGAGGTGTTTAGATCTGCTTAGGGGTTTAGCGGTAGCTCGGACCTGTTTGCTCAGGTTTCGCTGGAGACAGCAGTGAACAAGTGCCCGTCGTCTTGACAATCCTGTGCAGCACAATTTTGCAATTGTTGAATCTGCATGCAGCGAGTTTCTGCCACCTCATGTAGCTGACTAAATCAACGGCCGCCGCCGCCGCCGCGAAGAAGCAGGTGCTTCATGCGAGTGCAAGCGCACAGGATGCACGGGAGCCTCACACTAGTCAGGCTTGGCTTGCCAGCCGTACACAGCTGCCGCTTGCTCTCCATGGATCTCTATTAGTCTATAGTCCGTGTTACAACCTATGGGAATAAGACTCACTCGCTGCAGCACCATTCGTCTGAAATATGCGTATCGTACAGCTTGCAATTGAAAATCACAGCAGAAGTGATGATTGTACATGCGGAACAAACCTGAAAAACATACGTCAGTCAGAGTGGAATTGAACAATTGAGCACACGAAATCAGGAGATACCCAACTCATTTCGGATTGATGTTTAGCTGCTTGATGCGAACCCATCTGTGGGCGGGACATTCTGCGGAAGCTCTGCTCCTCTGTTTACGCGGCGTCTGTGAGGCATGACCTTCAGCTGGCGACTCCTCTAATGTCTAAGAAGCTTCAAATTGTTTGCTTCCAAGCAGGGGATGCCAAAATCCGAGCAGCTCATAAAGATGCAAATGAGGGGCATACATTTAGGAATGCCTTCATTACTTCAAGCAAGCACGTTCAAGCCTGGAGCAAGCCGTCGCGGGCTCGAACGAGTGTCGATACAGTTTGCGTCTCAGATGCCTGTTTGCGCCATGCTTGACTACAGGTGCATGTGCTTTGATTCTGCCACCACGCAAAACCTGAAGCGTTTGGATCTCAGGACTCAGGATCAGGGGCCAGGTATGTGTTCCCACCCCACCTGCCGCACCCTCCCTCGCAGCATCAAAAACCGCTCAAGATGTTTAGGCTGAGCCCTTTTCAAAAAGCCTGCCTCTATCTGCTTGTCAGGCATGCGTGGGATTTTCTGGCCCCGCTTCAAGATGCCGCGCTTCCATAGGAAGCCTCAGGTTCTGCTATGTGGCTCCAAGCAGCAACATCCAAAAAAAATGCCATAATCAGCTGAATTGCTTTGACTTGGAATGCTTGCAAGGTACGCATATGCTTGATAGCTTTCATCCGACGGTCCAGCCTCTTCATGGCTGCTTTGGTCTCCTGAGGGCACAAGAGGCCGGAGGCAGCAGGAGGCTCGTCTTGCTTTTAAACAATCTGTGCAAGGCGTCAGCTTGACTTCAGCTTGGCGTAGGTTGGCAGTCCTTTGAACCAATGTTTCTGGCTGGCGGTAGGCCCAACCGTTTCTTGAGCCTCTGCTTCACACTTTTGTTGACGGCATTCGCCTGAATGACTTTCTGGAAGTTCCTCAGCAGACACGTCGTAAGCTGGCCATGAGTCCAAGTCCATCAACAAAGTCTGCTTGGTTATTCCCAGCTTCTCAATTGCAAGGATCTTCTTGACCTGGAACTTTGAAAAGTCCGTGCAAGACGACAAATGCAGCTGCAACCCTGAGATCGCCTTCTTTGACATGCTTCGAACTTCGATCGGCTTGCCCTGCTTTGTTGCCTGTCTCGCTGATCCACTGCCCTCTTTGATGCGCGGCCAAAGCCATCAAAGCTTCGCGCCTCCTGAATTTTCGATACGAAAGGCCAATATCTTCTGGGCGTGATTGTTGTAACTCTCCCAGCACGACCACCACGAGCTGTGCGCCCAACTCGATGTAGATAGTCAGCCATGTTCAGTGGGAAATCGTACATAACCACCTTGAAAAGCATGTCACGGTCGAGCCGGGTCACACGCAACTACTTTCGGGCATCAGCTCAATGACGCTCAGGTCCTACACAACTCTGATTGAATCAAGACAGGCCACATGGTGCACATTGCTGAAATCCAAGCCCCGTGAGGCCAAGTTTGTGCACACCATGACATCCGCTTTGCCACGACCAGAGAAGGCGTCCCAAGCCTGGCTGCAGCCAGGGAGGCAGCTAGTGGCAAAAAGAAATATCCTTGGCTTGCCTCACCTGCTTCCGCTTGTCAGGATGCACGTTGCCATGCAAGCAGACGGCGTCGAGGCCATGCTCCACGAGGCTTTTGTGCACTCCCTGCATCCAACACATGCGTACACATCCGCAACTTTCGAGCGAATGCTCGCAAATGTGGCGATGAAACGTGCAGATGTCTGGACCTTGCACGTTGGAACTCTGTTGGTGAAGATGAGAGTCTTCTTCCCAACCGTTGGAACCTTTTGAGCATGCCAAGGTCTGTGATTAGAATGCGTGCGAAGTCCTCACACTGCTTGTATGCGCGGCGCCTCTCCAAGAATGTCCCACAACACTGACAGCAAGCGCTTGCCGCGGGTGGGAACAAACACCTGTCCCAAGCTGCAAGGCAATGTGTGCGAAGTGACTGGCTCCGAGATTCGCAAGCCTGTTCAAGGTGAGGTGGTGGCACATGAGCATCGGTGGTAACTACTGGCATGACCTCGTTTTAGCAGGCAGCAACCCGAGACTCAAACTTACCAAGTCAGAACTTGCATGGACTAGTGAGAACCATGCCGACGAGCTGCCTGCGTGCTGTTCATATGCTTTCGTAAGAATGCAGACACAGCTCCAGTGCGAGTCGCACCCACAATGATCACCTGCACACGCGCATGACACCCTTCTCTACACCAGCTGCAGCAAACATCTAAAAATTGGTGGCGCAGTATCCAAGGTGCCTGTGGTCTTGTTGGACAGTCCTTCTCCAGGCCTTCCAGGAGCTTGCTCGAGTCCTTGCCCCATGAAATGACAGTCGAGAAAAACAAGCTGCACAAAAATCCAGCACTGCGCCAACATTCGGATGCGCCAGTCCTTTTCATAGAAGGTGTCACACAAGGTGTCGGCCTCATCGAACACCACATGCCGGACCTCACAGTGACAGCTTCCAGCTTCACCACACGTTATAGCAATTTCACAACCAAACGTCCATGTGCCTCGTTCAAGACCATGTCGCCTTTTCCAAGGTGTAAAATGAGCCGAAATGGTGTAGTCACCACCACATCGACTCCCGCAAAGAGAGCCTGGGTCTCCTTTCAGTCGGAGACGATCGCAACAAGCAACTTTGCATGAGAAGAAACAGAAACCTGAACTCCTTGACGAAAGAACAGCTGGGAGCACAAACCACCGACCTGGCAGCCAAACTTACCAGCAGCCCGCAAGAGTACATCATGCAACAAACGCTGCCAAAACGACCAGATGCATCATCCCTTCAACATTTGCCAACCACACCTCACTGGAAAATTGCGAACCACCTTGATGGTCTGCAGCGCCAATTCGCGAGTGGGCTGCACGATGATTGCTCTTGGCTTACGGCTCTTCGGAAAGAAGCCTTCAAGCAACTCATGTTTTAGACTGGTCAAGGGCGAATGCACTGGCCCTGTTGTCTCTCATCAGCGCAAGGCCTTCCGTGTTGGTGGAAAGCAGCTTGTGCACAATTGGAAGTACATACGCCAGAGTCTTGCCAGTGCCGGTCTGCGCCAGGATGAAAGTGGAAACGCCTTCCTTGAGAGCGTCTCTTTCTGCAATGATATGTCGCGTACTAATTGGCGTCAGCCTCCAACCAAGAGGCGTCTGGAACAAGCTGACCTCTCGACCAACACTGGAACCTTCCACTAACGGCCTCTCCTGCCCCCCTCCGAGTGACGCATGATGGCGCCTTGCTACTGGAGCATCAGCTTTCGGCATCTTAAGCTTGCTAGGCAGCTCAGGCTTACCGACTTTGGAAGACACCCGAAAGACACTGCCCTGCAGCCTGCCATGCCTTGGAGGGACGCAAGTTTCTTGCGGTGATATCTGATCCCTCTTGGAAATGCCTCATCTAAGTCCCCATCTTGCAGGGATTTAGGCCGCAAACGTGCTATCTGAAGTAGTATCTGGGCACGTGAAATAAGGTTTTCAGGGTCGCGGTTGGGAGTTTTGGGTTGTTGGGGAGCATTTTGGGGCTTATTATATGAGTGACGATCACTCCTTACATCTTACAATGGACACCAAATTGGGGGTGTCTCGCTTTTCAATGCTCCTATCCCTTGACAAGGTTTTGTATTCAACCTGTGATCGTGGAAATTTCGGGGTGTCGCTTTTTAACGTTCCCGATCGTTTTACAGGGCTTACGCCTGAAAACTCCAAATTGTCGCTTTTCAGTTTTCCCGTCGCTGTACACGGTTTTTGCTTCCCATGTCCTCTACTGACTTAACTCCTTACAAACGAGTATTGAGTATGGCTCACATAGGGTCAAGGCTGGGGTTTTGGGTTTACTTGGTTAGGGGTTCTAGGCTGTAGGGCTGGCTAGGGTTGTGGGTTGAAGCGTCTGGTTTGTGTGAAGTGTGTTGTCTCAGGCTTCACGCTTTAGGGTTGGGTCGGGTTCAAGGTCTCCGGTTCTTGGGCTAAGAACCTCCTAAGGATAAGGGTCTTGACCTGCTAGCTTCAGGCTTAAGCGTTCCGTTTTTTGACTTTAGGGTTTAGGTTGAGAGTTTTCAAGAGTGAGGTTTGGGTGGTTTTGGGTTTAGGTTCTGGGGGGCTGCGGTTTTAGCTCAAGGCTGTGAGGCTCAGATTTTTGGGGTTTGAGAACTTCAGGACGGGTTTGGCAGAAGATAAGTGCGGGCTGGGCATAGGCTTTGACCATAGCTGCAGCAACGGCTATAGCGAAGGCTGGTGTTACAAGCAATATGAATGATATTTGCAATCAAAAACAAGCGTGCTAAAGTAGTAGTAAGATATGATATAGTAAGAGAAATAACTGTTCATAATAGTAATGGTAATAGTGCAACAGCAACAGAAATGGTCATATTAACTGGAGTAGTGGAAGTAGTCGAAGAAAAATCATGTTGTGGCTGATGTCTGCTTGCGGGGTCGGATCATCAAGAATCACACGCTGACTGTCAGTTGCTGCCTACTGCAACGGGCCCAACCACGCATTCCTTTTTCACCTCAAACCATCTTCAGGATGCTCTCAACGCAATCTTAGCGCCTGATCGGCCATGCTTCAATGAAAAACAAGCCCCGCTACTGAGCACGCACACCATCACCCAGCAGCCCCCATTTGGCGACCAGACGAAACGCAACTTTTCAAGCCGAAGACCTGGTTTTTCATTTTCCTGTGCTGCTTAACAGGCATGAGAGCTCCCAGTTTGCTGCAAGCCTGGTGGCCGAGGCATATTCGCACACGATAAATGTGGCAAGCTATGAAGTGGATACTCACCGCTCTCAACCTAAGCTAGACCTGCAGCGGACGCCTACTTGGGCCAGAAGCCAAGCTTCCATGAGCATCGGCACCGTCAAGTCCTGCACTCGCGTTGGCACCTCGGGCCCAAGGCGCAAACAGCTTTACGTGCAATGTTTGTTCTGCAGCAAAACAATAATGATTCACTGAGGAGGCTGCAGAAACGCCCATCTTCATCAAACCGAGCCTTGTGGAAGCTGTTACAGGCCATCTATCTACAACTGATTGCTTGCAGTTACATGTCACTGCTGCCGAGCAGCTGCACGTCTCTATGCAGCGGAAACTTTCTGAAGGACTGCCGCAGGTCGAAGTCCCGGCTCATGGGCAGGCCCCCGGTGAAAGTCGTGATGGCAGTGCTACTCACCAGGGTTGGACAAATGTAAAACGTGCAATCGAAGACGAACGAAGAAGCTATGACTCGAATCGGCCGGGCCTGGAGATCGGCTCTTTGAAGCCCTTAGGGCCATGAGGATCCAGTTCTCGTACCTCATGGGCCTCACGGCCTTCGCTGAACGCACGGCCTTGCTTTGACAAGCAGCTTGATGTCGCATGTGCTTTTGGAAATCGTTGACCCATGCTTCAGCCCTCGCTTGCCTGGAAAGAAGACTGGCGCGCAACGGCAGGCAGTAAAGGTAGTAGATCCAGCAAATGCCGAGCCCACAGGGCGCCACAGGCAGCTACCGCGCCGCAGCATCCCGAATCCATGGGGCGTCCAGGCCACAACATCTTGAGGTTCAGAGCGGGTTTCAGGTCGAAGTCCTACAACATCTGATGGCTTACTTTGCAAAAATTGTCCCTCACCTACGGCACGCACAACAATATCCAGGAAGCTCTTGTGCCAGAATCATCTCACATGACCGATGACTGCAAAAGCTAGCCAACTCTTGCAAGGGGATCGATATAGCCAGAAGGCAGTTCTGAAAGTAAGTTGGGATAAGCCCGATTGATGGTATCGATGAAGCAAGGCCTTGAGCCCGTGATTCTCTGCGCTGAGCACCGCACTCAAATCGTGATCAAATGCTCAACTTGACTTGACTCTGCTTGCCAAGCATGCCTGAGCGCTTTTTGATAGCTTCTAGCAGCTAGCGGCTTCTGGCGTGTCATGCTCAATTTCAGAACTCCAGCCTCCAGCGCTTGCGACCGGCGGCATGCCATCTTCCCTATCTACAGGTTACTTGAGTCACAAGGAAACATCTACAGGCTAGTACCTGTCCACTGCAGCAGAATCGTGGAAATCTGTTTCTAGCATCTTCATCCCTGATGAGAGCTAGCAGCTGGCCCAATCCGAACCCGGATGCTTCCGTGATATCCGTTGCTTGCGGCAGTCTGCTGCAAAAGACAGCCCGCATCCGAATTTGGCTCACTAACTGCTCACCTGTCACAAGCACAAGAGCAACTTCCCAAAACAGCAGTCACACACACTTACAAACTACGCTATGCAGTTCTCATCAGAATACGTTATCAGCCTGCCGTACTTCTGGAATTCCCACTCCCCGTTGTCCAGCGGGCAAACCTGGAGTCAGGAAAGCTGATGGATGGACCAGGAGGAGCAGTTGAACCCACGTGTGGCAGCGGCACCCACATACAAGACACCTTTTCCTACATGTGCTAGATTTCGCTGGTTGTTTCCAGCAGACCTACTCCGGATTAATTGCGTTTCTGCTCTACCCAGCTTGTGCGAGAACATGACACTAACGCCAACTTTGGCAGCAACATGCACAACGAATCAAATTCCAGACATACTTTGGGCTTAATGAACATCCTAGAGCGCGCTGGGTCTAACAACAGCTGGTTGCAATGGAAGTGTAATTGTTCCAGTAATCTGTTACGGGAAATCTGCTGAGCAGAAGCTGAAGCAGTGCCTGGCGGGTTTTCAGCCACCGCGAGATGCAGTGGAAGTGGAACCTGCAGACTTTCCGCAAGCATCATGCTCTGGGTGCAAAGCTTTCCGTCCATTGTTTGCCCAGAAGCGCATGATTGCAGACACCCCAGGCGACAGTGCACTCCTGCAGATGAAAATAAACATCACTTTGTGACAATGCAAGCTTGAAGCTTGAGGCCTCTGACGTGTGCGAGCCCTGATTTGCCTGACACTGGATCAGTAGCACATCCAAATGTGCAACGGCTGATGCTTGACGCTAGCCTGGCACTCAATGCAAAGGTCCATGATGTGATTTCCTGGGCTTTTGCAGAAGGGGTTCGACTGGACACCGGGCTCAGGCTTTCCTGAAGAAGGGAGATCCGTCGGAAAACTTGAAAGCACCTGTGGACCTATCGGAAAGCAGAGCGATCGACCTCTGAGGTGCAGCAGAGCAGCGGCAAATGGCACAGTTGTCTACAACAATGTCCCAGGACCAAAGGGCCACCTGCACTTCAGGACATAGGTGGGTTTTTTTGCTGTGCCTGCTCTCCTTCCCGCTCCTCTTCTTAAAAAACACATACAGTACAACACTAAGAAACACCGTGCAGAAAAAGAAAACATGTGGCAAGAAAAGGCGCGGGCTCCCGCACTAATTTTTGACCTAGCTCTTTGAAAAGGGTGTCAATAAAGAAGTGAGATTGGTTCTGCTTCCACTCTTCTAGCGTCTACCATCCTGCAGAAGATCCTCGCTCTGGCCAAACTGGCTCATACTTGCTCAAAGCTACAGCCAGTCACCCCCGAAAGAAACTCAAACAAGCAGAAGCTGTGCTGCGGCTCACCGCACTCCACTTCTTGATTTCAAAGCGCTTCTCACCTGCCAACAAAACGCCACGACACTGCCACAAGTGCTTCAAAGCACTGCTCATCGAACCTGGTGGACCGGGGTCATCGGAAGATGCAGCGGCCATTGTTGGCACACTTAACACGCTTAGAGGCAAAGACGCAAAGACGCCACCCGGTGCTGGGAGCCGGAGGCCATCGTCAAGCATAAGCTGCGGAGCTGCGGAGCTGCGGAGCTGCGGAGCTGGGGCCATACTACAACACCGAAGTCTCCTGCTGTCCCTGACAGCTCTATACGCAAATTACTGCCTTTCTTGGCATGCAAGTCGCTGCGCTTGACCTGTGAACTGCATGAACATGGCTTGCGAGCGTTCAGGACGAGCCGCCGCAGGACCGTCCGAGCTCAGAATTGTGGCTAGATGCCTAGGTGCAGCAAGTCGTCCTCGCGCCGTGAGACTGTTCAAAGTTAGCCTAGCAAGGCAAGCAAGTGAAACTTTCAACGGCCACAATTAGTGGCTGTTGATGATTTTTGGAAAATGCACGCATCTGCCGCAATCTGGAGGCTTTGGCTTGAAATTTGAATTTTGGGGAACCCATCACTAGCAAACATAGATTCGATGCTGCTCTCACTGGATTGCAAAGCTTTGGCTCGCGCTGATGAATGCAGGCTCATCAACTTCAGCAATGGGGCCTCACATGGGCAGTGCACGACACATCCTTCAAGACCTCATGCACAGACCCTTCATGATGTAGGCTGTAACATGAGCTACAAGATGTCAGAGATGCTGCGACTGTGTTGGGCCGGTCACCTGTACTGAAAAGCCATTTGTTCAGGTCCATCCCCGGATTACCCTCACATTTTCTCCTTTCTTTGGATGGTCAAGTCCTGCGATCTTCCACTGCTTCTGCCAGAACAACCTCCGACGACCTTTTGGACTGTCTCTGACAGGCCTGATCGGGCCTCACAACTCCTTCAAATGGAGGGAATCCTGGGGTCCTTCTGACGTTCCATATGCATGCCATAGCATAGCAATCTGTTGGCCAGCGAGAGGACATATGATGTGAGCTTGCCCTTTGCTGTTCTGACTGTCATCCCAATGCCTTCAAGCTGTAAGTATCTGAGAACCAGACCGTACAGCAGCCAAAGATCGCAAGGGCGGGACAGTCCGATTGGCCTCCTCAACGATCTGCTGCGTGCTCCTTTCTGGCTGGAAAGGGAGAGCAACATCAAAAAAATACGACTCTTCAAGGGTCCTGCCGAGCTCACCTCTTGGATTTGCATACTGGTGTAGGGGAATAGCTATCCTCAGCTGAGCAGCTATGCTCAAGGAATGTGAAGGTTTGAGTGAGCTACATGGCATCTTAGCTTCATGCGTTGCATCTGCATTGTGATTTGGATAACACGTTTAAACATTAGAAGCGGTGTGCTGAAGCTGTCACTCTGCCCGGTCTTGGTCCAATGCCCATGGATCGGATTTCGAACATGGGCCTGGCGTCAAGAGCACTCACCCAACACATCTTTGCCACGTTCCAAGCACAGGAGGGTGCCTCCTGCACGATGCTGGAGCTGTTCTGGCTGACGCGGTCATGCCGCACTCCGGATGCCACGCCCAAGTCGTAGACGTCGGCATCTCAGCGTTAAGGCGCTTCATTTCATCCCCCGCTTGGCTCTCCATTGCTCTTACTTGGAAGCCCACTTCTGGGACCCCCCGTCACTGGATTGCAACGTACAGGCCTCAGATATGCACAGCTGACCCACCGCGTGGCGTGCGCTGACGTGATTTTGCATTGATTTTCACAGGCTCAAGTTTACAATAAGCAACTCAAGAGAGCAGGAGTGCTTATTGCATGGCACACGTCCCAAATGGGTGCAAGATGGGGTCGTGGTCTAAGTCTTAAGTCCAAGAAGCTTCGGCCACACGCTTGTTGGGATCAGCACGCCAGAGCCAGCAGCACGAAGCACGCTAGCATGGTGCTGCTGCTCCTCCTACCCACAGCCAGATTTAGGGTCAGTCCCTTTTGGAAAGCTGCATTGGTCAAGCTGGCTCCTGAGCTATTCTCCGGTGCGCGGAATGCGACTGCAGCGAATAGCCTGGCCTGAGATTGCACTTTAATTTTTTTGCTGCAGAAGTAGCAGGAGCTGAGTGTTCGGATGCGACCTCGCATCAAAGTGAAAGCTCCCACTTGCTTTCATTGCCGACCCTACCAAACCTTCCCATGAAATTATCCAACAAGACAAGCCCTGCCTGTCGTCTCCGAGGTGTACCTCCGCACCACATGCCATGCAGCTTTACTTCCCACTGCATTGCACCCTATCTTGGAGTTGGCCCCTATGATAAGCAGCTGACTGAGACGACAGGAACCAGCGTGTCGTTCTTTGGCTGCGGTCCTGCAACATTCAGCCAGAACTGCGCAAGGAACAGAGAATGACCGAAAGCTTTCAGAGCATGTACGAGTTGTCTGGCAAGCTGCTTGCATGTCTTGGATCTGTTCAGCGCAGGCAAGATCGTGGTTGGCGTTTTGGAGTTTATAGAAAACGCTGCCGTTGCGTACACATCACTGGGCCTCCGCTTGTGCATCCAGTTGGAATGTGCAAAATGCTCCAGGGTTTTCGACTTCCCGCCACCCATGAATGATTTTTGGCATCCGTCCGCTCCTTGACGTCAACATCATGAGTAAGCTTGCCGGGCCATGGAATTGCAGCAGCTTCAAGGCGGCGCTTTGGACATGCCACCATGATTGTTCCACATGCTAAGGGCTTTTAAAGCTTTCCCCAACCCGGCTATGGCCACACAAGCCTCATGAGCGACATCTCCCGCATTTCCATATCTTGAGTCATCTTACTTGGGTCAAAGCTACAAGTCTACAAGTGAAAGACACATCAGGGGGTCCTAGAAGTCTTCAAAGTGGAGAAATGACCATCAATGATGATGATGATGATGATGAAGTGCCAGGAGTGCTCAGATTCACGTGTAGCTGCCCTGTGTAGGGAGTTTAGTTGCAGCCATTACTCCGTTTCTGCATTGTCGTATTTTCATACTGGAGCTGTGCGCCGAACGGTTGCACCTTGACGGTGCATCAGAGTCTCAAAGACTGTATGGTCTTGAGCTGGCCTCAGCCTTGTTGGACTGTCATACGGCTGTTCAGTTATTTGGTGAAGGGCAAGAGCATTCTGCAACTCACATTATCCTATTCTGTATCAGTGCGTTGAGTCCTCTATGCTGGAAACGAGTTCTTCTGATTTCTACTGATGAGTGGGCTGCACAGATACTTTGGGCTAGCTACAGCGCCAACGTCGGCGCTCACAACCAGGATCAACTTCCCTGTGTTGTCTGCTACACCGATACAGCAGCATGCTTCGAGCTCCTCTTCGTCCCGGTCCCAAGTACGGGGGCAGACAAGACAACCAATCATCAATGCTTCAGACATGTCTGTCGGCACGAGGGTAGGTCGAGATTCCTTGGTCCGACCGGAAGCTCCTTCGGGAGCAAATGACAAGGAGTATATGGTCTCACCGCAACATGAGGGAATTCGTAAACGTTCCATTAGGAAGGCCGTTTCCATCGCTTCTCGCACAGGGCTGTCGTTGTATAGGGGGAAGATTCTTGCCGCGAATGTGGACTTCAAGCCTTCTCCGCCTCAGACAGAGGAAGCGTCCAGTGGCCATCGTATGCACATCTTTAGTTGGAACTGCAGTGGATTATCGCAAGAATTGCTGGCTGAGCTGATGCTTTGGCTAGATTGCAATCAGCAGATCTCAGTAATCTTCCTTCAGGAAACCCACTGGGGTCAATCAATGGAGTGGTCCAAGAAGGACTGGCACTTCATCCACTCTGCGTCAAGGCAATCAAACTCGGCAGGACTGCTCACTGGTATTCGTGAGTCGCTGGCAAAAGTAGACGGAATAAGCTGGGCTGAGCCGCTTCCGGGGCGCCTACTTCATGTTCGGTGCTTTGATAGGGATCAACATGTCGACTTGGTGAACTGCTATCAGCATGCCTTAGCTTATGGTGATTCTCTCAAGCTGGACAAACTGTATGGCAAAAGACGCACTTTCTGGCAGGCGCTTTCCAAACTGGTCTCATCGATACTACGATACCCTTTCGTTCCCAGCTTATCTTTGGCGGGGATTTCAACTGTAGTTTGGAGGCTGAGAACAAAGTAGTGGGACATGGAGTCCTTCCTGGGAGTCAGGTCGAGTCGGCTAGACAAGACAGATCTCTGTTTATGGACACTTTGGTTCGGGGTAAGCTCTGCACTCTTAACACGTGGTCGCGCAAGACCGCCACGTATGAGCACCCAAAGGGTCGATCTCAAATTGACTTTGTCCTGGTGAGACAACATTCAGCTGATCGAATTGCGAAGCAGACCAAGCCTGAGAAGACCATCCTAGCTGGTTGGCGGACATCCGGGCACCTACCTCTACAAGCCAATTTGATCCTTAGCTGGAAGCCTTGGAAGCGTAGATGGCAGCCGAATGTCCTCCCCGCTCTGAAGGTTCCTAGGATGCTTGGTTTCTTGGGGGGACAGGGAATCCATGGGCTTTATGAGGGTTTAAAATTTGCAGGATCAGCAACGCATCTGGCCCCAGATGCCAAAGCTCGAGAGCAGTAACAGCCAGGCTCTTACCCTTTGGGAGCTTAAGAAAAGGCTTCGCTGCTGCACACCTTTCACCCTTGGGGGGTTCTTTAGGGCGTTTAGGCAGGTTGTTGTCTACATCAAAGCTCAAAGGGAGCTGCGGAAAGCAATTCGGCGCAACAAAAGAAGGCAGCTCCTTGACACTCTACAGCTGGCCGAAGAGGCGGCGAGGTCCACATCCACTACAGGCATGTTCGGGTACGTGAAGATGCTCTGTCCTAAAACTATGCGGCAGAGAGTTCGGCTGAGAGATGATACTGGTTCTCTGGTGGATAGAGAGACAGAGCGCAAGCTCCTGGCCGAATACGCGAGCAAGCTTTTTCGTGGCAGTGAGCGGCAACCTGATCTTCCAGAGCTTCTCCCCTTGAGTGAGGAGATCTTCAGCGCTCAGGCCTGGTCGGATGCCATTAGCAAGATCCCAGGCTCCAAATCTGTTCCCTCCTTTTCTCCGCAAACTTCAGAATGGAAAGACAACCTGGACACCATTTGCAGTAGACTTGAGCACATTTCTTTCTGTTCAGATTGCATGGCTGCCAAAACCGGTCAAATCGCCATCGAGGCCGGAAAACCTCAGGACGATAGGTCTTATGCCTGTAGACCAGAAGGCTCTACTGCATCTCATTAAGGACCATATCAAGCCTGAAGTTCTCACACAGCTGGCTGCGTATCCACAATATGCGTATCGGAGTCGATCTAGCACTCATGACGCCATATTGCGGGCAAGTTCACATTGCGCAGTGGTGCGGTCTACTTTGGAAGCTTGCTCCAATGATCTAACATCTAACATCTAAGCTTTTGGGGGCAGACAAAACTGAGTTGGTCGGAGGCATCATGGCCAGCCTTGACCTTGCAAAGGCGCTCGACTCTCTCCCCCATCAAGAGATCTACTTGTCCTTGCAGGAAGCCAATGTCCCAGAGCCGCTGTGTAGACTAATTCTTCATATTCACTCCAGAACGCAATGTGCCATTGTTCATGGGTCTGAGTGCGAGGTGGCCTGCATGTGGATGTGGAGGGGTCTTAGGCAAGGCTGGCTGTCCAGTGGCCCCCATTGTCTTTGCTGCGTGGTCGGCCAGGGTTTGCCGTATCATTGATGACGGGTAAGGGCTGGACTCAGGAACATCTCATGTTGTTCTCTGATGATACCTTTTGCTTCTGGCATATTCGCAGCTTCAGGGACCTTCGCACAGCAGCAAGCCACCTCTTGACAGTGATCGACGCTTTCGAGTCAATGGATATGTCCATCAACTTCACCAAGTCTAACCTTGCATGTAGCTTGAAGGGCACTCATGTTACTCAGGCTCATCAGTACTACATGCAGTGGATGGATGGGGCGTCGTTTTTTAAACTGCGTAGGCGTACTCAAACGCTTCACATCCCCATCACTGATGATGTCGATTACCTCGGGGTTGTCCTGTCTTATCGGAACTTTGAGCTCGCCACGGCAAAGCATCGCATCAAGAAGGCTGGTATCACGTACAAATCCCTGCAGAAGGTCTTGCGGGTCAAGGGGCCGCTTGGTACGAGGTACAAACTTCGCATTTATAGGGCTTGTGTGCTTGCCTGCTTGCTTTACGGGCTTATTGGGGTTGGCTTGACGCAGGCTAGCTTTAAGCTTGTTTCTTTGTGTGTCTGCAAGCACATTCGCAAAATCCTTTGCGTTCATGAAGAGGGAGTGTCCAGCTTGGCTGTCCTTGAGCGGGCGTCCATTGATCTTCATGCTGACTTAGTCGGTCGAAGTCGTGCACTCATTGCTTCAGCTGGATCGCGCAACACTTTTGGGCAGGAATCTCGGGATTCTGGGTGACAAGGATCTCTCCAAGCTGGTTCGTGTTCCTGAAGGCGAGAGTGGTGTTGTTGATTGCCCATGTTGTGGATTATTCTTTGCTAGCAGGCAGAGCCTAAACATGCACTTCAACTCCCGACACCCTGAGATCCATCAGTTGTCCAAGCAGAAGTTTGACAGAGCCCGTCATTCTCTTTTTGGACTACCTGTCTGCCGTTTCTGTAGGGAAAGACAGTTCTAGTTCTCGTGGCAGGTTCTCTCACAACATATCTCATGTGGAATGTGCCCGGTGGTCAAGGATGGCGTTGGTCGGGGGCTCCTATGGAAGATGCAGCCTACGCAGGCCCTTTGCCCAATGTGCTCAAGAATGCCACTAAAGTTCGTCTACTTCTGGGAGGCTGTGCGTTGTGCAGTCAACGTACGCAGCAACCCAGCAGGCTGAAGACGCACTGGAGACAGACACATTCCAAGGCGTGGGCCCTGGTGGAAATTCCTTCTCGTTCTGGAGCTCAAAGCATTAATGCAATACTTGAGACCCCTTGCCAGTTCTGCGGCAGCGCAGCTAAAGATCGCCGGCCCACTCAGTTCAGTGTCCTGCGCTTTTTCAGCTCCTTTCCATTCGTGAACTTCGCAGGCGGAACCTGACAGTGAACATAGCAGGGCGGGGTGAGCTCCCTAGCAGGGAAGAGGCAGAAGAGCAGGGTCAGCCTACGGTCAACCAAGTTCCACTAGCAACACAACGAACGGGAAGAACTTCCTGAGGTTGTCTAGAAGGGAGCACTGGGGCTGTAGGTCAAACTGCAGAGCAACCGGAGGTGGAAGTTCCTCCTGCGGTGTCCATGCGTGGACCTGATGATGCCATCCGGGAACTGGAGCATGACATTCCGGTGCCTGATGACGATGATGATGATGAGGTGATGTTTGGTGACTGTGAAGACTTTTTGATGCACCCAAATTCGAATCAGGCATAGGAAATTGTTGTGTATTCCTCTGACCTTCCCATGGCTGACTTACCTTCTCCTCAACAGTCTCTTCATTATGTGAATTTTGGCTACTGAAGAGCATAAGAGATTAAGAGTTGAAGTCATCCTAAAGGACCTTACAGCGGAGGAACACGAGAAGTTCCGGCTTGCAAAGGGAAACGAAATTGGGACACGGATAGACCACGGCACAGCTCGGCGAGTAGTAGCCGGCACTCTAGACGATCGTCAGATCATGAGACGCAGGTGGATTCTAAGGAAAGGTTAGTGGCTCTCGGCTTTGAGGATCCTGATATTAATAGTATCCCCAATGATGCGCCCACTCGAGGCAAGGATAGCCGGCAGCTCATTTTGCAAAAGATCGCCAGCAACGGCTGGAAGCTGATAAAATTTGATATCTCCACTGCCTTTTTACAAAGGCCATGGAGATGGCCGCGCCCTTGGCATCAAGCCACCACAGGAACTCCGGCAAGCACTTGGGATGCGCCCAGGAGAACAGTGTCAACTGGAGGGTGGGGCCTATGGTAGGATGGGTGCGCCGTTTCTTTGGCTTCAGACGTTAAAAGGATTCTTGGAGGAACTTGGGTTTATCCAGTGTCCGTTTGATGCCACGTTTTGCCTTGTGTCGCCTGGGCCCAATGGACAGCCAGTGGTTCATGGGGTGTTGGGGATTCAAGTGGACGATGGCTTAGGTGGGCGTGACTCTAAGTTCACGGCGGCTGTTCAAAAGCTCAGGGACAGGTTCAGCTTTGCGTCGTACGATGAAGGGGAGTTCACGTTCACAGGGGTTCGGTTTAGGCCAAGTTTAGGCAGTGGGATGACGGAAGCATCAAGTATGACCAACAGGGGTACATGGAGGGTATTCGACCAATTCATGTTCCTCAAGAGCGCCGTCAAACCCCTGCCTCTCCTTTAAGTGCAGAAAGCTGAGGAACTGAGACGACTCAACGGTAGTCTTCAGCACGCAGCTGTACATACCCGTCTGGACATCGCGGGCAAAGTAGGATACCTCCGGAGCCTCCAGACTCGTATCACAAGAGGGGAAGTCCAGCACCTTCGAGAGGCTAAACGAATACTTCACGAGGTCAAGGCGAAAAGACCTCGTCACTTTTTTGCACGTCTTCCAATGCTGCGTTTGCTACATCCGTCCAGCAAGAAGATTGCTAGGGTAGCTCGTAGCGCACGCTGAGTGCCGAAGTTGGCTCCCTAGATGGGTCCATGGACCGCAGGTTGTTTGGGGCTCCGACGGGCCGTAAACGCGCAATAAATGCGTTCTCGCCCAAGCCCTTCGGGACTGGCTTGCGTGGCACGAACAGCACTTTGGGACCTGTCGAGGG